AAAAAAAAAAAGAATATTTGTAGTCTACATAATGTTGTGAGAATATATGCTTAAGAAATGTTTAACCAGGTGGGGGGTGGGGGGAGGATATGGGAAGGGGAAAAAACAAAGAGGAGGCAACAATGCTTGATAAGAAATGTGCTCATTATCTTGCCCATGTAATTGTAACTCCTCTGTACGGTATTCTCACAATAAAAAAAAGAAAAGAAATGTTTAGCCAGGCACGCGTGGCTCACGCCTGTCATCTCTACTCATGAGACTGAGATCTGAGGATCACTGTTTAAAGCTAGCCCAAACTCTATGATATTCTCCCCGCCTACCCCCTCTTTCCCTCCCCTCCTTCCCCCTTCCCATCTTGGGGCTTGAATTTTGGGCCTGAGCACTGTCCCTCAGCTCTTCAGCTCAAGGTGCGCGCTCTACCACTTGAGCTATGGCGCCACTTCCGGTTTTCTGGTGGTTTATTGGAGATAAGAGTTTCAGGGACTTTCCTGCCCGGGCTGGTTTTGAATTGCGAGCCTTAGATCTCAGCCTCCTGAGTAGCTAGGATTATAGGCGTGAGACACCGGTGCCCAGCTTTCTATGAGATTCTTATCTCTAATAAGTTACTCAGAAAAAGCCAGAAGTAGTACTGTGGCTCAAGTGGTAGAGCACTAGCCTTGAGCACAGAGAAGAGCCCAGACCTTCAGTTTAAGCTCCAGAACCAGCAAAAAAAAAAAAAAAAAAGTTTTAAGTATTCTGTCCAGGATTCCCATGCGGGGATATCACTGTCAGAAAAATAATCAGAGTGAGGCATACACACATCATAGCATGAAGAATGGAAACTGTTTAATATTGAGTGTTAAGTTAGGTCTTTTTAGAGTAATGGATGTTCTCAATGATATAGAATGTAGAGGAAACAAAAGAAGCTGTGGAGATCTCATAGGCATTTAGAGTATGGAATACAGAATACTGGTGTAAGCATAGTAGAACCACAAAGTACAATGAAATATTGGAAAAAGCCATCAAGCTGCACTGAAGATTATATTTTAAGTAGAAAAATACTTTGATAGAAATTTTTTTTACTATTTTGCTTATATCTCTTTAAAAAAATCTATCCTTAGCATCTACCCAGAACATCGCAAGCCAGGATAACATAAAGACATTTGCACATCCATGTTCATTGCTGCACTATTTACAACAGCCAAATTATAGAAACAGCCCAGATGCCCTACAATACATGAATGGATCCAGAAAATGTGGTACCTATCCACAATGGAATTTTACATACTCATTAGAAAGAATAATATTGTGTCATTTGCAGGGAAATGGATGGACCTAGAACAAATCTTGTTAAGTGAGGTAAGCCAAGCTCAGAGACAAACAGCATGTTTTCTCTTATATGTGGAAGCTAGATCTAAAATACACTAGTGGGGCTGGGAAGTTGGCTTAGTGGTAGAGTGTTTGCCTCACATGCGTGAGGCTGTGGGTTCCACTCCTCAGCACCACATAAGCAGAAAAAAGCCAGAAATGGCTCTGTAGCTCAAGTGGTAAGACGTTAGGCTTGAGCTGAAGAGCTGAGGGGCAGCGCCCAGGCCCAGAGTTCAGCCCCCACGGCCCACAAAAAAATTAATAATAAAATTAAGTACACTAGGACATGATAAATTATACAGAACTCTGCATTCACACACAGTAAGAGCTGAGGAGGATACACTTAGGGACACAAAGGCACAATGCCTGTGTGCATCTGATCATGCAAAATGTTTTTGAGGGCTGGAAAGGTGCCTCATTGGTAGAGTGCTTGCCTTGCATGCATGAGGCTCTAGGTTCGATTCCTCAGTAACACATAAGCAGAAAAGTCTGGAAGTGATCTGTGGCTCAAGTGGTAGAGCGCTAGCCTTGAACTGAAGAGCTGAGGGACAGCGCCCAGGCCCAGAGTTCAGGTCCTACAACCAACAACAACAACAAAAAATCATTGAAATGAACTCCAGGAGATGGAAACAAGAGCTTTTTTTTGTTGCTGGTTTTGTTTTGTTTTGTTTTTGTCTTGTTCATTTATCTGTCTTGGGGAGAGGGTAAGGGAGACACAAAAATGAAGGGAGAAAGGGTGAACAAATACAGCAACTAGGCATGGTTAAAAATGAACTATATAACTTGTGGTGGGGAGGGGGATAGGAAGAAAAAATTGAGAGAGTGTGAGGGAAGGAGTGACATTATTCAAAAAGAAATGTATTCTACCTGATTTATGTAACTATAATCCCTCTATATCATGTTTATAAAAACAAAAAAGACCCGGGCACCATAAGGCTGAGATGTGAGGATCGCAGTTCAAAAGCCAGCCCTGACAGGAAAGTTGGTGAGAAACTTAAGAAAGTCTTATCCCTAATAAACCACCAGAAAAACCAGAAGTTGTGCTGTGGCTTACGTGGTAGAGTGCTAGCCTTGAACTGAAGAGCTCAGAGCCAGCGTCCAGGCTCAGAGTTCAAGCCCCATGATCAACAACAACAACAAAAAAAAAAACGAAAAATAAAATTTAAGTGTAAGGAAAGAGCTGTATGTCTGTTAACTTTCACTAAACACTGAAGTTATAAGATTCATTAGTAAGAGCAAATCCTTCCCACTAGAACTACATGATAAGCCTGCTCATCTGACCTTTTTCTTGATACTTTGATGTGCCTTTTACTGTGCTAGAGCAGTTCTACACACTTGGTCATTCTAACCCCAGGAAGACAAGGCTTTTGTATTCTAATCCTCACTTTACAGGTTTAAAAAAAAAAAACTGAGTCACAAATAAATGAGTGTTAATCTGATGATTAGTTCTGGGGACTCAATAGCAAAGAGGTATTCTAACAGCACCTTGGAGGTGGCATCAAGTGTAGGAGCCAATAGCAGGGCCTGAAGATGACTTCATTTAGTCAGTGCCTCTTGATTTAATTGTATGCCAGGTGTTCTGCTAAGTGCTTTCCCTCCTATGTCTTATCTGGTACTTAGAAGTTTCTCTGGAAAAGGCCCAGTTAGGAAAGTGTTCTAATTCTCGTACCTAGGCTATACTTCTAATACATGACTACATTTACACATAGCCTATAAGCTGTCAACCACCTCTTTGGTTACTTCAGTTATAAAAGTGTGGAGTGCTGTAGCCAATTCAGTGCTTTATTTTATTTTTTGTGTGTCAGTACTGGGGCTTGTTCAGAGCCTTACATTCTCACTTGACCTTTTCCCTCAAGGCTAGTGCTCTACCACTTGAGTCACACACACAGCTCCACTGTTGCAGTTCAATACTTTAAGTTTTATGACTATAGAAAAAACTTACAAATTTCAGATTGCTTTACAAATAAAGTAGCTGTGGTGATCCCAGGTCAAATATCTTTAAGACATGAGAACCCAGGGTATGGCTGAATATCCATTGTCACCCAAGTGCCAGTCAAGAAATCTCAACACAAACCCCCTCTCTTCTAGATGTGATGGATGTAGCGTGGTCTCCTCATGACGCCTGGCTAGCCTCATGCAGCGTGGATAATACTGTCGTCATCTGGAATGCTGTGAAGTTTCCAGGTCTGAGGCTCTCCCTTTTTATTGCCAGCAGAAATATGCTGGTGCTGGTATTGCTTCCTGTTGGTGTCTGTTGCAGGGTATAGGTGTGGGAGACTGAGCTACCTGTCTAATTAATCTTGTAAGTGGCCCAGGATTTCTTTTTTTTGGTGGGGGGGTTCGGTCGTGGGGCCTGAACTCTGGGCCTGGGCGCTGTCCCTCAGCTCTTCAGCTCAAGGCGAGCGCTCTGCCACTTCAGCCACAGCGTCACTTCCGGCTTTTTTCTTTTTGCTTATGTGGTGCTGAGCAATTGAACCCAGGGCCTCATGCATGCAAGGCAAGTGCTCTACCACTGAGCCACCTTCCCAGCCCGTGGCCCAGGATTTCTATGTCTTATCAATAACCCATTTTTTTCTTTATCAATTACATTGGCTTAAAGTGCTTTCGTTTTTGTGGGGTGTTTTGTTTTGTTTTTTTTTGGCAGCTATGGGGATTGAACTCAGGGCCTTCACGCTGTCCCTGAGCTCTTATTGCTCAAGGCTAGTCTCTACCACTTTGAGCCACAGTACCACTTCCAGTTTTCTGGTGGTTAGTTGAAGATGAGTCTCATGGACTTTTCTGCCCAGGCTGGATTCAAACCACAATCCTCAGATCTCAGCCTCCTGAATAGCTAGGATTACAGGTGTGAGCCACTGGCACCTGGCTTGTTGTTTTATTTTTTTTTTTTAAGATTATGCTAAAGAAATTCCAAACGTAGCTGATCATGAGGGTGCTATGCGAGCAATTGGCCTTGGGAGCCATGGCACTCCCACAGGTGCTGTGTATACTGCCTGCCACCAAGCTCTGGCCTCAACTCAGTTACTGTATCTATGAAACCTTCAAGCACACACAGGCTAACACAAACCTGGTTTTGCAAACAGTTTTTTTGTGTATTTCAAGGCATTAAAGATTTTATGATTCGGCATAATTTATAGCTTATATAGTAAGATTTCTATTCCCATTTGGTTTTGGGAATATGTTTTCTTCAGGACTGAAGTGCATCCATGGATTGGATCCAAGGCATTTTAAGTCCTTTTGGAAGCCACCACCAGCATGTGTGAGGACAGTTGTAGGGACCTGTAGCATTCAGATTACAAATCTTTCTGAGGTGTTCTCGTGTCCATCTTCAGCAGTAACTTAGAAAAAAATCATTCTGCTGAGTGCCCAGCCCTGTGAGCTATTTGCCTGCTATCTTTCAGGGCTAATCAAGCCATAGCCCTGAGGAGGGGGAGGAAAGGGGTGTGCCAGGAGGCTGGCAAAAGAGAACTCAAGTCTCCCCCGCTACCTTAGATTTCCTTTCCTTGGCCCATTGTAGCTCATATTGTCTTACAGTCATTTTTTTTTTTTCTAAGTAATGCCTATTCACATTTCTTCTATTATTTTCTTTGTAGAAATTCTCGCTACTTTGAGAGGTCATTCTGGTTTGGTGAAAGGGTTAACTTGGGACCCTGTTGGTAAATATATTGCCTCCCAAGCTGATGATCGCAGCCTGAAAGTCTGGAGGACATTGGATTGGCAACTAGAGACCAGCATCACAAAGCCTTTTGATGAGGTAACCAGAGACAGCCCAGAGTTTGCCACTACTCCTGTCTGACCTCTGCACAGAGGGAACAGGCTCTGCCCAAGGTAGTGTGGGTAAATGGACAATGTCTGGGAGCCTGAACAGGCTACTTAAAGTGCACACTCAAAGAGAAAACTTTTTTTTCTCTCTGAGAAGGTACAACTTTGAAGTGAAAAGAATGTATACATTTTAAATCTCCAGAACATTAGCACTGTCATTATAGCATTAAATACCAAAATTATGTTGTGTAGATAAAACTTTTCCTTTAGTTTTGGGTTTTTTTTGTTTTGTTTTTTTTGCATCACTGAAGTATGAACTCAGAGCTTTGTGCTTACTGTTTATTAGGAGATGCTATACACTGAGCCATATCTCCAACCTTTTTTTGTGCTGGTTATTGTTAGTTTTTTTGGGGGGGTCC